TACTAACAATAAAGTAGGGAATAGCTATCCAACTGTTGTTTTAGTTGTATGTTACTTCATATTATAGTTATATCAATGTAAATCATTGTTTTCCCTTGTGTTTCTCATTCTTTCCCTGCCATGTCGTAAAATGTGGTGAACCCATCGCTGTATTTGCTCCAAAGCAAATATTGGCCTTTCTAGTATTTATATTTCAGTCCATACCATGGAAGGTTTTTTGGGGCATTTTTCGACAAAAAATGGATTTTTGGATCCTGAGCCCTGGTATTACAACCAAATGATATGGCATTCGGTATAAGGGTACCTTGAACGTGTGTCTACAGAATAGCAGTCATGCATTTGGCATACATCACTTCCAAATGACTCATTTGGGGGACTTTAATGGCTATTTTCAGCACAAAAAGGGCCAAAAGTGCTATACCCGTTCCATGTTCTATCTAAAGAATGGCCCGTTCCATCCATGGAACACGTGTTCCATTGCGGGTTACCTGAGGTCACATTGCACCTAAGTGGTGCGTAATGACCCACACATTAAATTTTATGTGCCTAAGACCTTCAAAATGTATCAAATCTCATCATTGTTAGTTTTTGCGTACCTGTAATAAGATTAGTAAAGCTTTCGAGATTCAAAGTACTTGTTGTTGCATCTTTGTTCTCATATAGCTACTATTTAATTCATTTATTTGAGAACCTTTGCCAGTTTTGCACTGGGGTAAGTTTGGAATAGTCCACTTTTGCGTGGGAGGGAGATGGACTGAAATATGCTGTATTTGCTCCCAAGCAAATGTCGGCCTTTCTAGTTAAACAATGAATTTTGAACTTTTAATCATTAATGCATTAATACATGTAGATGGAAAGACTGTAACAACTAGGACTTTTCTCAACTGTTGGGGGCAAAATATGAGCATTTTTGAGTTGATGCAGAACCAGAATGTTTTTTGTTTTTTTTGCAAATCAGAAAAAAAGAACAGGTGAATCCGAGAACCAAGAACTTAAATTGGTGTGGCCTACATGTAAGGGTTAATATCGTGGCGAAGGGTTGAGATCGTGGAACTCTTGTAGGATTATGGTTAGTAGCAGTATTGTGAGAGAACAAGTCATATATGACTTGCACAATCCTTGCACAAACAAGCAATTTTGGACATCTAGCCTTAGGCCACACCAATTTAATTTCTTGGTTAATGGATTTTTCTAGAAAAATAATGGAGCGGGCAGGCGAAAAAAAATAAAAACAGCCCTAGGCATCCTATTATGGCCCAAAATGGTACGATAGGAGTCATGAAGTCAACACACCAGGCTGGTTCAAAATTTAAATAATGAATTTTGAACTTTTAATGATACCACTGCATTGAAAGATGGAATAACTGTAACAACTAGGACTGTTTTCAACTGTTCAGGGCAAAATATGAGCATTTTGCAGTTGATTCTGAATTTTTATCTTTATTTGCAAATCAGAAAAAAATGAAGCGGCGACTCCGTTAACCAAGAAATTAAATTGGTGTGGCCTTAGTAAGAGATCTTTTTACCAGCTGTAGTATATAGACTTAAGTAAGTGGTGTAGAGTTCACAAATAAAGTACAAGAAAAATACATAGAAACTTACAGATAAGATTTAAACATGATGTGTACACTTGAGCTACAGTAAACATGGCATCAGCAGCTGACACTTTAATTTGATATGAACATGAGTGAAACATGTACATACATGTATGAGCTGACATTACAATGTACATGTACCTCCTCACTCTATATAGTAAGCAGTAGTTTCCCCATATAAAGGTATACAAATGTACATGACTGTGTATTGTAGATCTACATGTACTAAGGGTAGAAAGTAACAAACATTTGTTGACATTCTACCAGCCAAGGCCAGGGTTTTTTGAACCCCATTCTTTATTCATGAGAAGCTCAAATGGGCCTGCAGGCCACTTCATTGAGGTCATGAGGGAAGAAAGGGCCAGTCAAAATATATTTTAATAAAGCATATGCGTCACCCAACAAGCAAGCCAGAAACATCCATTTTGCCACAGTACATGTCGTATGTTCAAATCTCCGTTCAACAGTCCTGCAATCAACTCCAAAGCCGAGGTAAGTTACTTGTTGAATAAGTGTGTTTTAAAAGTCTGGTAAAGAAAATGATATGAAGGTCAATCATACGTTTCATGTATCAAATATTGGTACAATGAAATGACATAGAAGAAGAAAAGGTGTAGATTTCTGAACAATAGCATTACCTTTGACAGTACATGTGCATTACCTACATGTAATGTTACATGTATAATGTACATGTATGCTTCCTGCACTGCTAAGTACAGATAAAACATGCCAGATGACCCGTAATAACGAGTAAACAATGCTTTCACATGACTTCAAGGAGTCTTTTTTTTAAATTAGTAAACCTTAAAGCGTTTAAGTAGCCTAAAACACAATACACCTGTCCCCCTTTTCATACTGTCATGTTAAGTGATGTCTGATTCACCAACGCCTTAAGTTTGCAGATCATATTTAATTTACGGTATGGCACCTGGTAACATTTTTAAGTCACATTTATTCCAAAGAGGTACATGTAACATTACCAAACACATTACACACAATTGTAAAATGCTTGTAAAGTTACCAAATAGATTCATTCCATAGCTGGCAACCAAGCTCTCTAATAGATAGTTTTAACCATTCATAGATACATTTGATGTCTTTACATTTTCTCTTGACATTATAGCTGGGTCTGTCCATAATCTTTTGTGACTCATCAATACTCAAGCCATAAAAATATATGAAAATAGCTACTCAATGAGATGACACTTTGTGCAATTAGGCACCTATTGCAGGGTTTTGGTGCAAAAACTGTAAATATTCTCCAGAAAAAGATGTGGCCATATCTTTCCATTTACTGTATAACAATATATTGTTTTTTCGCATCACATTCAAAGTGTAATCTTCAGCCAAATGACTTCAGTAGTTGTTTAGAATTCAAATTTTCTTTAAAAAAAAACCCTAAACATTTACTTTTGCCAATCTGACGTGTAGTTTCATTGCATCCTGTTGCAGATATTCCTGTGTGAGAATGGCGGCTGCTTTACTTGGTTACCTCGTGGATAGCATGCCCAAGATACGCTACATTCTTGGACGACACACCGGCAATAGAGATTCGGCCATCTTTAGTCAGGAAGACAGAGAAGTCTTTTGTCAGCCTTTCCACCTGGAAACAAAAACAAAATGGTACATCAAAGACCTTGTACTGGCAGATAACACCAGGGCAAATAGGTTTTTCTTGTGAAATTCATAACTATTTTTAGTGTAATAATAAATCGACTTTTGGTGGTTACAAGTACAGTGTTCCAGAAGATGACACCATGCATGATATTGAATTTTTTTTTTCTTCTCTGTTTCCTTCGTTTGTATCTCTCTGTTTAGTCCAACCGTTCATAAACTTTGTGTATGTATTTCTAGTGTATGCTGCAGTTAGACCACTTCTTCTCTGTGACTACTAGTACTGAGTTTCATGTTTAAAGTTAAAACTTTTGGTCCAACACAAAAAATTCTCTCACCTAGAGCTTTCGACCAGTCACTCTGGTCTTCCTCAGTAGACTGACCCAGTGAAGCTTGTCACTTGACACTGTAAGGATTTTAGACACTGAACAAGACTTTTTCTTGAGAGGGGTGAAGGAAGCCATTTACATCAGGGCCCATCACCCTACATTGAACGGCGACGAGGGGCTACATCGTCTACCAGATACCTTTGATGTCAGTGTTGACGTCACACTTCAAAGAAGCCACGTGACAAGCCTCACTGGGTGAGTCTACTGAGGAAGACCAGAGTGACTGGTTGAAAGCTCTAGGTGAGAGAATTTTTTGTGTTGGACCAAAAGTCTTAACTCCAAACATAAGACATACTTGTTGTTCCTTGAGTCCAGTGAAACAGAACATGCCGATCTGGTCAGTGATGTGTTGCCAGTTGTGGGTGGAGCCCTCCTTCGTCAGGTTTGCCACCAGCTGTTCTCGCATGGTGATGATGCGGTCTGCCATGTCCTTCACTTCCACAAGCCTGACACAAAACAACGAAATAAGCAAGGCAAAAAGCTTTTTTTTCTAATATTCCAACATGTAATCACAAGACGTCGTGACGACACACTCAAGTTACATGTATATCAACTCATATTAATGCCACCACCAACACGGGGGACAATACAATATTTATTTTCACCTGAGTGAAGTGAGGAAAGTCATGTAAAGTGCCTTTCCCAACGGCACAAGATCAGTGCCATGTCAGGACTCGAACCCGGGACCTCTTGGTTCCGAGTCGAGCACTCTGCCGCTACGCCACACGACGCAAAAAAGCAGATTGTTGCCCATACAACTTGTTCTTCTCATATTGAATTTATTAGGCAAAACTATAGAGAGAGGGTGGATAACTCTACATTCAATCTAATGTTAGGAATGTTTCTATTTTCTAAAGGTGTACTCAATCCCAGAAGTAGGTACCGTCGGCGTGTTATTTGCTGAGATACCACACCTTGATGAATATAAAATCAGCCAAATTAGGTAAAACTGTGGGTTGTTGTGTACTCCCTACCATTGCCCATGTAACTGTGGGTTGTTGTGTACTCCCTACCATTGCCCATGTAACTGTGGGTTGTTGTGTACTCCCTACCATTGCCCATGTAACTGTGGGTTGTTGTGTACTCCCTACCATTGCCCATGTAACTGGGGGTTGTTGTGTACTCCCTACCATTGCCCATGTAACTGTGGGTTGTTGAGGATGGTGGCTGCTATCCTGGCTCCGTTGATGGGAGGGTTGGAGTACATGGGGCGGATCACAATCTTCACCTGCGACTCCACACGCTTGGCCTCGTCTGGGGAGCTGCACACAAACGTCAGGGCTCCCACACGTTCACCTGCAAACAGGTGGCATTACCATTAGGCCACACCAATTTAATTTCTTGGTTAACGGATTCGCCCGCTTCATTTTTTTTGCAAAAAATTTGCAAAAAAAAAAAATAGATTCAGAATCAAATACAAAATGCCCATATTTTGCCCTCAACAGTTGATTTGATTTGATTTATTGAAATTGCAACAATATTAATGCAATACACGTGGAACAGAGGCAGCTGTTGCTGGTGTTGTGTCCCGCACATAGAAACAAATACTGGACAGACAATACTCATTTTCACTTGAGTCTAGAGGGGAAAGTCGTGTAAAGTGCCTTTCACAAGGGCACAAGATCGGTGGCATGTCAGGACTCGAACCCGTTGAAAACAGTCCTTTTCTTCCTAGCTGTTACAGTTATTCCATCTTTCAATGCAGTGGTATAATTAAAAATTCAAAAATTTATTGTTTAAATTTTTAACCAGCCTGGTGTGTTGACTTCATGGCTCCTATCGTACCATTTTGGGCCATAATAGGATGCCTAGGCCTGTTTTTATTTTTTCCGCCCACCCTCTCCATTATTTTTCTAGAAAAATCCATTAACCAAGAAATTGTGTGGCCTTAGTACCAGTCATAACAATGCTGTCAGGTGCACCAAAAGTCTTGGGTATTTTTAAGATTCTTGCAGGTATTCAATTAAATTTGACTGGTCATCAAAACACAATAAGCAAGGTTAGCCTTGCCAATATCATCTAAATTTCTATGTCCATGACAACATGGACAATTACCAATCCAACCTGCAAGATACAGTCACTGTGGTAAGATTGATATGTTATAGCAAAAATGTAATATGTTCCCAGACATGCATATGTGAGAGAAAAAATGTAGCCACATTATAAAAGTAAGGAAAGTGATCTTGATCCAACTTTAGCTCACTTAAAAGAGCTAATCTCCCACTGGTCGTGACAAAGAAGACAGACGCTATGTACAGTATTTACAGGTTCATTGTACCCGGGAAATTCCCCTAGTTTTTTTCAACAAGCACAATGAACAGTGGACCACAGCTTAATGTCCGGTCCTAGGGACTTTCCAGTAGCATGCATGTCAGGTTGAGTGACAACAACTGGGATTTTAACTCCCAACCTCTTGGTCCAGAGGCAGGGTTACTAACCACTGGACCATGCACGCTACATGCTATAAGGCATTAGGCCACAGCAAGTAAATTTTATGGATGACATCCTCTACCCACTCCAAATCTAATGCGAGCGGGTGAAAAAAAACAAGGCGGGCCAAAAAAAACAAGGTTCCTACATTATAAAATTTTGACTCAATCATTGTACGAATGGCTTTTATTCGGTGGGAACATCACATATCATGGCATCAAAGTAAGAAACAAAACATTAAATCAGAGCCTTTTCTTGTTTCCTCTCGTCATAGTTCTGCCATCCACCTTCCGGCATGGCAACAGACATCTTTGCCCATTTTCGGCATGTTGACCACTGTCAGAAGGCAACAAAATTTCTTGTTTTTTTTTTTCCAAAATCAGGCGAAAATTAATGCGCGCACTGATGTCATCCATAAAAATTACTTGCTGTGGCCTTATGATACATTAACTTGTGTACATTGTGTACATTGTGTACAGAAGCAGACATAAAGTTGCTGTACCATACAAGCCCATGTTTTTGGAGTAAGACTGGGCCAGAATCAGGTTGTGACCTTCCTCTACAAAATGCCTGACAGCGAAGCCGTCCCTGTCCACATCTCCGCTGGCGAACCCTTGGTACGCCATGTCGATAAACGGCAGCAGTTTCCTCTCCTGCAGGGGGCAAATAAACATTGTGGGATGTGCAAATGAGCAACTACATCTCCACATCAGATCCGCCAGTGCTTCCAAATAGTGCTGTGTACCTAAACCCACATTTAGGTTCAGGTCCGGATTCAAGTCCAGAGGTTTATGTTCAGTTCCAGGCTTGTAAGTCCAGACCTAAACCCATGGCATATACAAAATTGCATGTTGGCAACCTTGCAATGTTGTTGTGGCAAAACTTTGGCCACATAGCATGGGGGCCGATACTTGACAATGCCCGATGGCAATGTTTTCTTCATTTTGCAGCAAAGATCTTGCAATCTACAGAAGGTTGTAGGTGGTTGGAAAGAAAAGGGGGATGTGAAATGGTTTTTCTTGGTAAAAAAAATAAGTCTGGACTCGGTTCTTGCCTTTTTTTGGGGGAGGGGACTTGAACCTAAACATTCCTACAAGTCCGGATCCAAGTCCAGTGAACCGGTACACGGCACTACTTCCAAGCAAAGCTCTGGGTATTTCAGGAATTACTACGAGATACAAATTTAGTCATAATATTGGAGACCACGATGGAACCATGCTGCCAGGAGTAGCACAGTATATCAATCAGTCCTGATAAAGCTTAAGACAGCTGACAAGTTTTCAAAATATTTGGCAGGTGCCAAACTTTTGTTGGGTACAAAGAACATCAAGTTTTGAGATTATGATGACAGATTTACATGTGCATGTTAGCTTAGCTTCATTATTTTTCTGCTCTGGGTGAAACATGTACACGTGTCTCACCTTGATGATTTTGGACATCTCCTTCCACTGCTCTGGCTGTACAAAAGGACACATAAGGTATGTTACTCAGTAAAACACAGCAGAACAAAAATGGACAGAAAACAGACTTGTATAATGTCCTGTGCATCCTTCACATCAAGGATTGGGTCTGGACTGATAGATGTATAATGATATAGAGACATGGGTCCATTGCAAAGGGAAACCTGGTTAATATTGTAGACATACAAAGTACCACACTTATTAAGCCTAGGAAAATAAATGTTTCTGATTGACAGAAATTGTGTTAAATGATGTTTCAAAACTCTGTGGGTTTGACATTCAGATATCAGACTTAAAAATGTACAGTAGCCTTAGCAGCTTTGGATACAAAAAATGTATGTTGCTTAGGATCAGCGCAGGTTTTTGCTAGGGTCGGTCGGGAAACTGGAAACACAACATTATATTTTTGTAGTCCTGATTCTGGTGATAGTGATACTGAGGTAAATGATAAAACACTACATTATGATGTAGGACAGGGTACCTTAGGGTCCACCCCGGTAGGGTTGTGTGCACAGGCATGCAGCAGGATGACTGACCCCTCCGGGATGTTCTGCACAGGGTAGAAACTTATGTTACAACATGTACAACATAGAAATGATGTCATCATGTTAGCTTCCTGTGCAGACTTCTGAGTGGTCAACATTAAAGTGCTCATGACACCATAATATGACCTTAGCTGATTGTAATTGACATAACTAGTATTACCTGGCTAACAGACACATTTACAATAAATATGCATGGTTCTCTTGTTACATTCGAAATTCTAATGCCCTGTACATTGATTGGCCCTCTGACACTAAGTGACAAACATTCTTAATCATTACTTCTTTTCAGGGTGTGGAATGAATACAGACTTTTGGGCAGCCTGATACAGCTATATGTATCCCAGCCTTACTCCAATATACAGCTCTCTGCCCAAAAAGAAACAACCGCGTTCTACATGTACATGTACATGTGTAGCTGTGAGCACTGAAACTATGCAGGAGGCTACTATTATGTCAACCATTACACTGTACAATGTCTATCTCATTTGATACAGCTTTGCTGTTAATGCCAAATACTTTAAGCTGTATGGTTTGTACTGGATACCAGACTAGACCTAGAACAAGTAGAATGATTACTGCTAGCTTAGTTGCTAAACTTTGTTTGAGTTGTGTTGAGTGAAAGGGTACATGTATGTAATCTTACACTGATGTCTTCAAAACAACCAGCTTCATCCAGCCCATATGTCTGTGGATCATAGTACCGGTAAGACTTCACATTCATGCCAGAATGTCTGCAATGGAAAAACAGAGACATTTGAGTGTGTATGTTACAGTAAGTACAAACTATATGGCAAAATGTATAAGTTGGCATTCTTTCTACTTGTCTATATGGGATATCAAAAACCAAACTTACTTGAAAATTGGCGTGTGGTTCCCCCATGATGGTTTAGGCAAGTAGACCTCCTTACTACCATGGAACTTGTCCTGGACACATTAAGGATCAAAATTAATTTTCAATCTTTTGTACATGAAGTATAGACATTTTCACCTGTACAATATATGAGACTACCCAAACTACAATAGATGGAGTCACAGGAAGAACCTAGATGCAATACCAAACAAAGCAGGTAGGAGGCGTCATTGACCATCTTCCCACAGCCAAGACCCATCAACCTACCAAGTAGCATTACTGGCATCACTTTATGAGTTACATGTATGCTAGTCAAGGAATCAGAAAAACAAGCACACAGACACACTAATATCTAAGCTCAGGGGGTTACTAAATCAAAAGACTGAGGAAACAAACCCAGCTGAGATGTGAAAGGCATGAAAAGTGAACATTACTGAACAATAGTCAATTCTAACTTATTCCTACACCTACTTAGGCCACACCAATTTAATTTGTTGGTTCTCGGATTCGCCTCTTCATTTTTTTCTGATTTGCAAAAAAAAAAAAAAAAAAAAGATTCTGGTTCTGAACCAACTCAAAAATGCTCATATTTTGCCCCCAACAGTTGAGGAAATTCCTTTTCTTCCTAGTTGTTACAGTTTTTTCCATCTATCAATGCAGTGGTTTGATTTAAAGTTCAAAATTTATACTTTAAATTTTAACCCAGCCTTTTTTGTTGACTTCATGGCTCATATTGTAGCATTTGAGGCTATAATAGGATGCCTAGACCTGTTTTTATTTTTTTTTTTCGCCCTGTCGCTTCATATTTTTTCTGAAAAAATCCGAGAACCAACAAATTAAATTGGTGTGGCCATATTGTGCTCACTGGCTAATTTGGCATTTTAAACTTTGCATTGTTTTGTCACAAAGCTAACCTAATAGCCTAATTAAAAGCTAGTTATTCTCTAATAACTACGGGTAATTAGTAGATATCGATTTGTGCAAACATACATTTGTAGCTTTGATCAGTATGCACATGAAAATCATACTTTTATTGCAGTTATTTGTACCAAAGTGCTGTATTATAACTTTAAATATAATTATATTTGGGGCAATAAAATATGATGACATCATCCATATGGTCCATAAAATCATATTCACAACCCTTTTGTACCCAGGTATCAATATTCAGTACAACTACAGTTCTTTCTGAATTTCTTTGTGACAAAACGATGCAAAGTTTAGAATGCCAGACTAGCCAGTGAGGACACCTTAACACAGTCATTATCAAGTAACTGTGTAAATCCCTGGGTTCTTCCTGAAGGTGAAGTAATAAAGACTCTCACCAGGAAAGCAGCACCGACTCTGAGGGCACCCGTCCCAGACAGGGCCTGGACAGTACTGATCTGGAACAGACAGCAGCAAAAACTCATTAAGGTGGTAGAACACAGTTTTCGTCCTATGGGGATTCCTATAGTTAAGCACCTCGAGGTGACTCACTTTGACGCGATAAAAATTATAGTACGTTGCACTAGAGAATCACAGCCAACTAATATGTTGAAATATACGGTATATTCTACAAAATAACTGAAAAGCAAAGAAAGTTATAATGACGACCACTTTGATTTGGCCCTCTACTGGGGTCAACGGAACTGCAGCCGGCTCACCCTGGAACGTGGTTGCGTAATGCCACGCATTTATATATATATATATCAGGGCTGGAAATACTTTTTTCAGCCAGGTGGCGCATGTTGCCACCTGAGTCAAAAGCCAGGTGGCGCCATCAGTATTCAAGTGGCAACACTTCCAAGTTATCATTTTCTTCAAATCTGCTACTTATATCTATTACGTTTTCTTCTAGTTAACTACTTAAGTTTTATGTTATAAAATAAAGTAATGTAAAGAACATAAAAACTCTCAAACAACAATGTTTTAATAAAGAATGCCACCTTTACATCACTTCATCACAGGGCTGCCGCCGTGGGAATGCCACGCCTCTACATGGCGGCACACTTATGCGGGTGGTGTTACGTTCGCCATGTTCTTCGTTTGCGCAAGGATAATGTTACTCTCATCTGCCAAATAAACATACCCCCCGGAATAAACATACCCCCTGGACAAATCTTCAAAATCTAATAAAAAATGGTATTAGCTCCCTTGATTTAAAAAAAAAAATTGGGCATAGGTTCCCCGGATGACCCCTAACCGGGGGCCAACGGTGCTTCCACAAGTTCAACAAGTGAAAAATACATGATACAAATTGTACATGTACTTATTACCTGGAACTTGGAGCAAGTATTCCTAAGGTGTTACGGACATAATTAATATATACCAAACTTTTTAACCCAATCATATTTCCCAAACAAAATCACATATTGACACAGCTGAACAAATAAAAATGTGATTATGTCTATAAACTCATACTAAAAAAAATTTAGAGACACTCAATAAAGAAAGTAAGAAAGAAAGAAAGCATGCTCTTAATATCTGATTCTCCCAATTGTAAAAGCCCCCACAGCATCCAACCGCACATTCATAGAAACAACATTATATTCTGACACTAGAAACCAATAAATTCGGAAAATTTCACGGTAATGTTTACAAATTAACCTTTTAAAAATACGAGTGAATTTTTTTTTTCTGTCGTTGCCGAAAAAATTTTTTTCATGCGTGTAATACTAGTACATGTATCTTGGACGCTTGGATGCTATCTTCACCTTTGACCACATTGTTGGAAGCAGCGTCGGCCATTTTCATTCTGTCTTTCGAGCTGTTTTTTCCGACAAATTTCAACCGTTTTAACATTTTACGGCGTCAGAAACTCATATAACGACGAAAACAAGTTGTAGTTGTTATTTTCATGCGTAAAATTTCTTCTGGGGATGGATTATTTTTCCGCCGAGCCGCGGTCGGTCGGGCGGCCGGCAGGATTTTGTATCGGCGCGCTTTGCATGTAAACAAGGACAGTCGGAGTTGTTTACATGAAAATTGTGTTGTGAAACGCCAGCGAGGTGTCTGATTTTCTACCAATGAGAACGTTTTCTTTGTGGCGTCATGGCGAGATCGACAATTCATCGACAATTCACAAGATTGTGCCGACAATGGGGCCCGATCCATGCGATTAGCGGCTCGATCCACGCAAATTATAGGTGGCGCGCTGCGCCACCTGAGTTTAGGAATAAGTGGCGCCAAGCAAAATCAGGTGGCGCCGCGCCAGTGCGCCACCGGGTATTTCGAGCCCTGTATATATACACAAACAGGGAAATCTTCACAATCCAACTCATACGGTGTACAAGCCGATACCTTTCTATACCACACAGCGCAGTTTACTCATGGCTACCTCTCACATAAGTCGCTCTAGCCAGGATGCAAGAGGTTTGTCTGCACTACTTTCTATACCCGCGCCATAGACTCCCGGGGGTCGCCCATAAATACTGTGTTCTGCAGCCTTAACCAGACTCAACCATTCTTGCAACAATCTGGCTGAATGGGATCAAACAGACCTCAGCATATTTTAAAACTTTTAAACAGATAGAAGATTATATACAGATTGAAGAGGTCTACAGAAAATGAGAAACATTAACTAAGAGTACATGTAGTACTCACCAGTCCCTCCTTGATGACAGGACTGTCATCTCCAAATGCCAGCTTAGCCGAGGCCTTACAGAACTCAGCATTACCGGCTATAGGGGAGTACTCCTTATCCAGGCCAGAGTCAGCAATCATCTGTTCTGCCTGAACAACATGGAATAGCAGTGTCATTACTTTTTTTCAGGTACATGCCTCAAAATTAACGTTTCTTCCTATTGTCCCAGCACTGTCCCAAAAATAAATTTCGGTTGTCCCAAAGTGATGATGAACTGTTCCAACTTGTTTTTTTTTTTTTGGAAGTATTCAACTTGGAGTCAACTTTATTTTGCTTAGGGATGCATACCGGTTCACTGGACTTGGATCCGGACTTGTAAGAATGTTTAGGTTCAAGTCCAAAAAAACCTAAAAGTCAAGAACCGAGTCTGGACTTATTACCATAAAATACCATTTCACATACCCCTTTTCTTTCCAAACCACCTAAAACCTTCCGTAAATTGTAAAATCTTTGCTGCAAAATGAAGAAAACATTTCTATTGGGCATCATCAAGTACCAGCCTCCATGTTATGTGGCCAAACTTTCACCCAGACAACATTGCAAGGTTGCCAACATGCAATTTTGTATATGCCATGGGTTTAGGTCCGGACTTAAATGTACAAGTCCGGACCTGAACCTAAACCTCTGGACTTGAATCCGGACCTGAACCTAAAATTGGGTTTAGTTATGCAGCACTAATTTTGCTTACATTCAGGTGGACTACAATTGCAGATTAGAGATTTAGACTGGAAATTCCTGGGGACAAAAGCCGGGACAAAAGGCCTGACATTCTGATGTTGTTGTTCTTTTTATCTATTGTCCCCAAAATGTCCCAAAGTGTCTTTTTAGTTGTCCCAGTCTAAATTTTAGTGGTCAGTGGCCATTGGACCACCTTTAATTTCGAGTCCTCGCATGTATAAATAGTGAACAGGGACAAAACAATTGCAGAGACTATGTAAAGAGTATCATTGCCATAAGTTATTGATTTTTTATATAACTTAATTTAAAAATCACACAATTCAGCCTTCATGGCTGTGAAGTCTTCACCGTGTACTGTATTATTGTGCTATTATACATGTAGTACTGTGTTTGAAATAAACTGATGAGGCCACACAATCTTATTCTAATTTCTTGGTTAACGGATTCGCCCGCTTCATTTTTTTCTGACTTGCCAAAAAAAAAAATTCAGAATCAACTGAAAAATGCTCATATTTTGCCTTTAACAGTTGAAAAAAGTCCTTTTCTTCCTACACAGTTATTCCATATTTCAATGCAATGGTATCACTAAAAGTTCAAAATTCATTGTTTAACGTTGAAGAGGTTCATCAGTCACGTAGAATTAACAGTTAGTAGAAATTCTTCAATCAGTGACTGTATTTAAAGGTAAAAACACGTACCTCCAAATTTTCGGTGTCGGCTGTACACCTTTCTCAAGGAGTGACCTAGTCTCACCCTAGAGCGACACCCTGCGAGTTACGCAGTACTCCCCTACATCAAAGGAGTCACTGAGAGACTGAAACGGGCTTACGCCAAGCACAACGTGAGTCTGTTCTCTAAACCAGGCTATACACTGCGCAATGCCCTTGTCAGTCCAAAAGACCCACTACTTCCCAGTGAAAAGTGTGGTACTGTTTACAAAATATCGTGTGAGATGTGTGGTGAGGTGTATGTAGGTGAAACCGAAAGGTCCCTAGGTGAACGAACTGACGAACATCAGAAATCTGTAGACCGTCAGGACGGTAAATCCGCACTTAGCCAACATGAACTCAAAGCGGGACATAGGGTCACAAACGGCCCTATTTTGGACATCGTTAAGATTATAGACCAGGAATCCCGGAAGTCACATAGAAAGATTAAGGAAGCGGTCCATATCCAGTTGGAACGTGCCGGGGTGAATCGCAACGAAGGTTGGGAGCTGCCCAAGTCCTATTTACCCCTACTCCGCAAGGAGGCGGGGGAGGTCAGAAGATCCACACAAGTCTCGACCTAGTCTCGTGTTCTCGCGAGACTAGGTCACTCCTTGAGAAAGGTGTACAGCCGACACCGAAAATTTGGAGGTACGTGTTTTTACCTTTAAATACAGTCACTGATTGAAGAATTTCTACTAACTGTTCATTGTTTAAATTTTGAACCAGCCTTGTGTGTTGACTTCATGGCTCTTATCGTACCATTTTGGGCCATGATAGGATGAGGCCTGTTTTTTTTTTTTCCCTCCCGCTCCATTATTTTTCTACAAAAATCCATTAACCAAGAAATTAAATTGGTGTGGCCAGATTTGACCAAAATTTGACTGTGCCACATTTCCTTACCTTTCGGACACACTGCAGAACAAAAGGTTTCCCGCTGTCGTCCCTGTAGGCCCCCACTCCCAGGTTCATCTTGTTGGGGTTACTGTCCTTCTTGAAGGCCTCGGTGACCCCCAGGATGGCATCAGGAGGGCCCATCTCTACCTGTCCCCACCATGAGCTGCAGTACCAAAGAAACTTGTCAGGAGGTCGTTTTTATGTGGAACACTGGCCAGGTAATGTCAGCAAAACTGCCAGGACAAAGATGAACTCAATGTACACTGATAACATATCATGATGCTGGACTGAGTTGTTAGAAGCTGTAGGGGATAAGGCCTGTGACACACCATTTTGAGTATCACAGTGACGTCTTTCCTGTGACCTGTACTGAACCCAGTGAGTACTTAGGTACAATAAAGGTCTTCAATTCTTCTTCATTCATTCATTCATTCATTCATTCATATAACTGGACATGGTCATGAAGCAAGTTGCCTACATCAAGGACATTTCTCTAGTATACATGTATATATATATATATATACTCTTGATACTAGTAGTCCTTTCCTAAATTTACCGATTTGCTGACAAGCCACTGGTACTGGTAGAGCCAAAAATGTCTATAAAACGGCTAGTGGACATTGGATATGAGTTAGACATTGCTGAACAAAAGCCAGTCAGGAGAACATTACTAGTAGACATAGTTACTGAAAAACGACATCAAAACTAGAAAGGCCAATATTTGCTTAGGAGCAAATACAGCGATGGCTTCACCACATTTTACGACATGGTAGGGAAAGAATGAGAAACACAAGGGAAAACAATGATTTACATTGATATAACTATAATATGAAGTAACATACAACTAAAACAACAGTTGGATAGCTATTCCCTACATTATTGGTTAGGATTTTTAATTGCATAATGCAAACTGTTGATTTTCCAAATTAAAAAAAAACGTTCATGCCCCACATTCCAATGCTGGAGCAGGAAAGCTTGAAATACCTACCAAAACACTTGAATACAGACATACTGTCAGTATGAAAATGCTCTGTGCAGGTGTTAATCAAGTTAAATCCCAACAGCCAATCAGCAAGAAATGCTCTGTGCAGGTGGAAATGCTCTGTGCAAGTGTTAATCAAGTTAAATCCCAACAACCAATCAGCAAGAAGAATAGAGGAAAGCTGCATGCCTATTGGTTGATGCCCTGCATTCCATTGTGATGACTCATGCCCAAACGTGGTACACAGCACAGTAATACATTTGCTATAACACAGCCAAAAAGCTCAAATAAAACCATTCTAAAAGCCTGTATCACCAAAATTTAAAAAACGCCTGGGGGTATTTGCCCACTGTACCTCCATACCAAATTTCAGGTCCTTAGGCCCCAAAATGAAGAAGCTGAATCCATTTAAAAAATGGCAGGAGAAGAAGGAGGAGAAGAAACATCAGAAAAAGCAATATGGTTTCACCACACCACGAAGTGGTGTGGTGAAGCCATAATAACCCAAGATGGACATTTTCTATCCATAGTCTCTTTACACGTCAGGTAGGGACACCCCTAGGAGACAGTCCTTTGTTTAGCACAATGCGTACTTAAGATATTAGTGTCTGTCTGTTAATTAATTGCATCCCGCCCCCTAAATTACCTTGGCTTTGTGTAGTGCTTGCGAGTTTTCACAGTTTTTTCTAAAGACATTCTGACAGACACTTTGTGAACAATGGAAAGCACAACAAGCAAGTCCTCCCCAAAAAGACCCCGTGAAGTCCATGGAAAGACATTCTTACTATGTTTGAAAAATGTCCAGAATTTTTGCGAATGTCCAATGTCCGCTAGCATTTTATAGACATTTTCGGCTCAGCTGCATTAGCATCATCAAAGAGTTGGTAAATTACATAATGAAAATTATACTGTTCTCCAACTCAAAAAGAAATTTGATCAACTTTCTCTGTCTTTATCAGTTATCTACTGTTGACATGATTTTTCTACACCTGTGACATCAGCACCTGAATGGACAGAGAACTGCAGAATCATTCACTACACAAGCCATCATGTTTCCTGACTTTGTGCTGAGAAAACCTGTTGCCCATACTCCTGCAGACAGCGCAGGCACTAAAAGTGTACTAACAGTGAATGTACAGAAGAGGAGACAAGTATGAATTTCTATATTATCTTCAAGGGGATTCAATGTCGTAACTTAAGCCCCGGTCACAACCCGCCGTACATGCTTTTTGTCCGTACGTTTTTTTGAGGCTACGTCTGCTGCGTTTTTTCTGAAAACGTGGGGAAGGAGTGGCGTTGACGCACGTCACTCGCACGGTTGCGCAAGGTGTAAGAGTGTGGTCTGCACGCCATGTCTGGCCGTGAGCGGTTGCCTGCATCATACGTTGCGCAAGTGGTGAGTTGTATGTGCTTACAATGTACGATCACTGTACGATTGCAACTTTACCGTAAGGAGGTCGTACTCACACGTGCGTCTTACGCACGGTGTGTACGGGCACGCGCATCGCCCGTACATGTGGTGAATCCACAGACCGCACGCAGAAAAAGTTTTACATGCACAGTTAAAGTTCTACGGCGTGTCTGCGTGCTCCCAAATCCGTAGGATTCCGTACGGAGAGGTGGTACTCACCACGCACGGATGCCCTACGTTTGCCCACGTTTTTGCACATAGACAGCACGCAGAAGCACGTACGGCGGGTTGTGACCAAAGCTTTAGGTGGAGTGGAAAGGAAATTTTCATGATTTTCAAGTTCACAGTCGAAACAACATAACAACGAATTATTGAACTGCTTTCCAGCTTATACCAAATTTGCACCTGACATCAGCACTGGGTCAAAGTTCGGCAGAAGTCAGTACCGTCCCCCGTCTCGGCTGAGAGGAGTGTGTCCTGCATCTTCAGACAAACTTTGACCCAGTGCAGTGCTGAGGTCACCTGGGGAAAAATCTGTCTGTATCTGTATAGCCGGTATAACCGCCTTTCGGCGTAACACACCAGCTTTGCAGGCACGCTGCATGGCGGCAGCTGGCTACATTACACAGATCAACTTGTTACACCTAACCCTTGAACATCTAACTCTAGATATTGTTTAAAGCTATCTAATGATAATGCCCCTACTGTACTGTACTTCATGGTGACAGTGAGTTCCACTCTGTGATAGTTATGTAATTTTACCAACTCAGATGATGGCATAAAAACAGATCACTTGTTACTAACGTTATTTGCATCACGCGATGAAAAGACACTGCGAAAACCGCAAATATAAAACCAGCGCGGATACCTGACCATACTTTTCCAGCAGCTAGCTAGACATGTCTGACACTAGAGGTTACCTGTTAGTGCGGGTGAGGGAGGGGGGCACCAGTCGCACCGCCCGCACAGACGGCTGCCGCAGCGAGCTGGAGCACGCCAACGTCGTCCTGAAGGCACTTTGCGTGAAAAACGACATTGCTATCTTTCTCTGGACTCTTCTCAATTAGCTATTATAGATGATAAAGCCTTTTATCTCCCCGTTCTTTCTACAGCCCGTCCTTGCGTTGACTTTGCACTCTCTCCACCATGCAAAATGACCCGTACAGGAGCGACATCTACCGGTTTGAAACATGTTGCACCCTGGCTGGGGCCTGCATAGTTTGCGAGCAAATGCAAAATGTCTCTTTCCCTTTCCTGTTGATTCCAACTAGCATTTCAAGTCATTGTTTAGACTCTTATCATTATTGAGTGAAATCTACCTCGTAGTTTCTTCCCAATAACTACGGTACATAACACAGAAAACAACAACGTCAACTTAATAATGATAAATTTTCCTTTCCCTTAGGAGTGAAATATTATTACCCAGCATTCCATGTGAAAGTGGAGCACCAACAATGGCGGAGTAAGTATACTTCCTCGTTACTTCACCAAGGATTTTGCTTGCATTTTGCGATTTTAGCCTGCCTGGTAGTCTACTTTGTGTAGTAAAGCGACTGAGGCTAAAGCTAAGACTGTATGGATTCCAGCCATGGGGTTTTTGAAAGTTCTGAACTGTGTTCATTTGTTTACGTTAATTTTTTGTAGAGTCCTTGGTAACTAACTGTGAGGGAGTGAATAATTAATGGCAAGTTGCTGTAATAACTTTAATACTGGTAAATGGTGGCATTTTTCACTCGGAATATTTGTTACTTAGGTGAGGATGAATATCCAGTTTTTCATATACGAGTTTTGCTAATTAGGACTTTATTTGCATAATCAAATCATTCCAGAAGGTTTATATTTGCAAACTGACTACGGAGTGTGTACATGGACCATGTGTTGTTGCTTGTATTTGTTTTTATACATAACGTTACATGTAACGTTAACTAGTTCCCGAAAGGGTTATCTCTCATTCGAGGTAGGGGCTGGCACCCAGGCTATGTCATACTTAGATTGACAAATGCTGACAATTATATGCAAGCAAGTTCTCTGTTGCTCATGCTGATATATTTTCCTGTAGTCAGGAAAGGAGAATCAAAGATGCTCAGATGCGTGCTACTATCAACCAGAAACTGGTTGAGACCGGAGAACGGGAGAGGTAAGATACCACTATTTCCGCTCTGCCCTGGTCTACTCTGCTCTACCCTACTTTTATTCTACTCTATATATACGTATATTTATATCATACCCGGGCCGCAATAACGTTCAATAACGGGTTCCGGACCGGGCCGTACTTTACGGTACGGCCCGGGCTTCCATGGCTTCCTGACTTCCTCGGTTCCGGCCCTCCCGCGATCCGACCCGCGGTTGGGCCGATACCTCGGGCGATACGGAATACCCCATGTTGTATTCTATATATACATAACAGTTACATATATATGTACATATATACGTACATATATATATAATATATATATTGTCATAGATGGTGGTTGTTGAAAAGAATTTGAGCAATACTAGTACAGAGGGACAGATTCTCTGCAGATGTTAGTGGTTTACACTTCCATTCTCTGTTGTGTGATCAGGCTGAAAGAGGTGCTGAGGACTAAACTGATCGAGTGTGGCTGGAGGGATCAGCTCAAGGCACACTGCAAAGGTACATGTACATGTACAGGAGTCATTTCATGGCTGTTATAACTTAGATGTAAGGCCGAGGAAAAAGAATGTGAATCTAAGTGAATTTGATTAAATTTGTAAAAATTCAGGACAGCAAACTTAACTAATGAGCTGTGCTGATTATGCTTGATGTTTTTGTTTTTACTTTGTTCAGATGTTGTGAAGCAGAAGGGTCTGGAACACATCACTGTGGATGAGTTGGTGGCTGAAATCACTCCCAAGGGCAGAGGTCAGTATTATACATTATAGCTCGTTCCCCACCTCCATGCAGATCAAGTCATGTGCATTGTTAGCTAGAAAGTGGGCACAAGTAAATGGTTTTCCCTATTCTCTGCATAATTGGTTGTTTTGTTAACTTTGCCAAGAAGGTTATGTTTTTGTTTGTTTGTTTGTGAACAACATAACTCAAGAAGCCATAATGATATTCGGTATACTAGTACTACAGTGTAGTATATGTTAGAAAACCCAAAAATGACTAGATTCTGGTCCCCCTGGCAGTTTTTCCCAGTACTGCAGCTGAACTTCCGGTTTTAATCTCGTGATCTGAGCAATTGCTAGGGTTATTATTTTTGGATGGTAGGTACATGTACATGCAGCTCTTGTGCCCTGGAGGAAGAAGTGGCATACGTTTGTCCCCCCAGCAGCTTCTTTTGGAACAGAAGAGGCATTTTTATTAAATTCAAAATCTTGGAAAGAGGGTAACTCTAGAAGGGGTTGAAATTACAGCTTTCACCCTTATACATCATTTCCCCCATATTCAGCTTTATACAACATTTGTATATATATTATAGATAAGGCCACACCAATTTAATTTCTTGGTTAACGGATACGCCCGCTTCATTTTTTTCAGATTTGCAAAAAAAAATTCAGAATCAACCGCAAAATATTTTGCTTTGAACAGTTGAAAACAGCCCTTTTCTTCCTAGTTGTTAGTTATTCCATCTTTCAATGTAGTGGTATCATTAAAAGTTCAAAATTCATTGTTTAAATTTTGAACCAGCCTGGTGTGTTGACTTCATGGCTCCTATCGTACCATTTTGGGCCATAATAGGATGCCTAGGCCTGTTTTTTTTTCTCCTGCCCGCTCCATTATTTTTCTGCAAAAATCAGTTAACCAAGAAATTAGATTGGTGTAGCCTAATGGCCTAATGGTAATTTTGTATCTGGGCCCCAAAAAGTCCTTCTAACTTGTCCTTTGTTTCTCTTTTCAGCCCTTGTCCCTGACAGTGTGAAGAAGGAATTGCTCCAGAGGATTCGCCACTTCCTGGCCCAACAGTCCAATATCTGATGTGCCTTGTCCAGACTGTTGGCTACAGTTGTGCACCCTCATGCCCGTAGCTAGGATTTTGAATGGGGGATTCTTCCCAGTGCGTGAGGGACCAACGAGCGCCGAAGGCACGAGGTTCCTAGGGGGGTCCGGGGGCATGCTCCCCCATGAAATTTTGAAAAATGAACCTTCTGAAATGGCATTTCCTGCTTTTTTAGAGGATTTTGAAGAAAAAAAATCAGAGATAACTTTTTTCAATGATAAAGTGAGCCGTTTTCCTACGATTCCAGCCTCGCTGGTGACACGAATCAGTCCATCTTTTAAAGGAAAATCTTGGACCTTTAGATAAAAAGTGGACCAAAAAGTGGACCTTTCAGCCTTGTGGGGGGTTCATCCCCCCACCCCCGAACTCCCCCTGGCTATGGGCATGGTCCTGCACAATAATGGGACCAAATTTCGTCATGGAGATGCTTGATATCTCAGTGTTGTCATGTTGTCAATGATTGAGTTATTGCCTGTGAAACTGTGAATCTGATGTTTTCTGTTTTTAGATGATTTCTCAACTCCTGGTCTGGCATTGGGTAACTGCAATGGCACCTCGCTCATTTCTGATGACTGTACATTGTGTGATGCCCAAACACTACAGAAAGAATAGTATGGTATAGTCAGTATCATACTCATAGCTTTTTACACAACGCTGTCCAAGTTGCCTACAAGTCTGTTGTCGTCATGTGTGTACAGTGTACTATGACACTGTTGTACTCCATTTCATGGAAGATGTCCAAGAATGCTGGTCAAGGCTGGGCAATTCAGGCTACAGAAATTAATGCAGAAATAAAACTAGGAAAGATGGTATAGCCAGTCATGAGTGATAGAAGGATTTCTGACAAAAACTTTTTTTTTGTTAGAGTGAGAAACATGGAATCATGCACACATGAATAATCTTATCAGGTTTGCAAAAGACTATAAGAAGGTTATTTATTTAACAACCTGTGGGTTTTCACTTTGGATGTTTCAGACACTTGTCACTTTTGGGACGGTGTTCAACTGAAGCTTGTTTCTCATTTACTGAACTTGACATGTAGACATTATGTGACAACACTCTAGGTTTGGGACTGCATTTGTAATATTGCAGCAGTGACATCTAGCTGCAGTAAAAATCATTGCAGTGGTGATATCTAGCTGCAGTACAAATCAGAACCAGTTGTTGCCCTGATTTACGTGTCTAATGCTAAAAAAATGTATGTGAAAATTCACTGGGTGTTGAATAAAGAACCTTCTTGTATACATGGAATCATGCAGTAACATCTACTACAATATATGCATTTAGTATCTGTTGATGACGTTTTGTTCTGGTATCATCCAAAGTTTAATACATAAAATTGTGTTGAAAATAAAAGTTAAAATGTTGTTAGTTGATCTCTTGTTGTTAGTAAGGAATTTATGCTGGCTTTATTGTTATGAATGGCAGAATGCCTGGAATCTTGTCTATTTTCATTTTTGAACAAATTCTACAGTGTTGAGTGTAACAAGAGCCTGGTTTGATGCCCAATAAACTTGCTTTTTTTTAAGTTGAAATGAGGAAATATTCAGCTTGCTGTTCATGCTTGGTTTATTTGTGAGCTATTTTTATACCAAAGCGTACAAAATGTATCTGTATTTGGTTCCTTCACGTACATGTACGTGGGCTAAATCTTGTCAAAGCCAAATGAACTGGAAAAGTCCATTCTTGTCCATTTTGGGAAGAACTATTTGTAGAATGGGCCATCTTTGCTAGCCTGGTTACCAGACCCGGGTCCTCATGCCCGTAGCCAGGATTTTGCATGAGGGGTTCTTCCCACTGCTTGTAGGGACCTCGACCGCTGTAGGCGCGAGGTTCCTAGGGGGGTCCGGGGGTATGTTCCCCCGGAAAATTTTGAAAAATGAACCTTCTGAAATGGCATTTCCTATCGTTTTTGAGAGGATTTCAGAGAGAAAAAAATCAGAGATAACTTTTTATTCAATGACAAAGTAGGCAGTTTTTATACGATTCCAGGTCCGCTGATGATACGAATCAGTCCATCTAAAGAGAAATGTTGGACCTTTAGATAAACAGTGGACCAAAAAGTGGACCTTTGAGCCTTGTGAGGGGGTTCCGAACCCCCCCTGGCTACGGGCATGGTCCTACTCCCAAATATTTGTGGAGAGGATGTAGGACTCCAGTAGCTATACTACAAGGTAGGTCTGGTAACCAGGCTACATCTTTGCAGCTGGATAATTTTGCTATCAGTACCCTTTCGCATGCAGGAAGTTTTTTTTTTCAGTAGAATGTTTTCCATCATTTATGGTCACCCTGCCACTAACATTACATCTAAGGTAACCAGTGAATGATAGGATTTGTACTCTCCAAGCAGAGGTTTGGGTTTGGGGTCATTTTTGGCGTGTTTTTAGGCTTTTTATCGTGGTTTCTCTTTTGCACTGGATTTTTTTCCCACCAAACCAAAACAATTCAGTGCAAAAGAGAAATCCCGATAAAAAAGCCTAAAAACGCCAAAAAATGACCCCAAACCTCTGCTTGGAGAGTAAGGATTTGTACATCTGCCCATTTTGTCGTCCGACTTTGAATGTTTTTGATCTTTGGTTGTGTTATTGTCAAACCGGCGTGCCACAGTGGTGCGGCGTACTCCAACAGCACAGGGTAGACAAAACATGTACATAATGTATAGACTGTCAGGTCTTCTATGGGTACGTTAAATTGACGTACACGAAGTCGCCAGAGCAAATATATCCTAGCATTACACAATGTGAACTACTAGTACTAAGGGTCTAGTTCGGCAGCAATCATTTTGAACCGATTTTTACAATTTGATACAATTGCTGTCGATATTTAACATTAGACTATTCGCACCGCTACACCTGTCCCCGCGCGCCACAAACAGGTGTCCAATTAACACAATTTTGTAAGGGGACCAATCAGAGAAGTTAGAGAAACAGGTGGGTGTGCTAATGAAGGAAAGGTATAAAAGGGGAAGAAAACGGCACAAATACGCAGTTGGCGGTCGGGAGAAGGGGGAAATTGAGGTTGGGAGAAATAAGAGAAAGGAGGAAGGGAAGGATTAGGGCAAGGGTTTCCGACGGAGGGTACAGTGTGGCAAGGAGCATGGGGACAGATTTTTTATTCCAAGGTACATGTATGTACTGCAGATATTCACGTGTTTAAAACACTCAGGAAGGACTCGATAACCGGGCATTCTCCGACAACAACGACAAAGGTTCGGGTCCCTTGTCAGGAGCCTTGTGTGAAGAATAGCCTCCTTCGCAGATTTGTTGGGAAACGTTGGAGCGGGAAACCTTCTCTCCACAGCAAAACTCCCTCGGCGGCAAAATCGTCCCTCGCGGCGGCATATTACTCGCGTCGCACACCGCCACCCAACAAGTCTGGGAAGGAGGCTATGTAAAGAACATACTAGTACCCCACGTACAGGCCACACATGGGCGGACATTTTCAACAGCTAGTGCACGTCAGTTCCCAGTAATGTTTTGTATCCTCTGATATCTATTTTACATCAAAAACATCAAGAGTAAGTTCTACAAAATAAAAAGCACATAACAAGCAGCGGGTATTACTATTAGGCAGAAAACTACACCATCTACCTATTCAAAGACCTTCAAAGACAAATGCCTCGCTCAAAAGTCACGACTATAGCATGACCACGCACCACGCGCAACCAGGATCCTTTCCTTATAGTATTTAAAGATTCCATAGGCTATGTTACCACACTCACTCCCTTACGAACTTACATTTGTAAGTATGGGCACCCGGTAAAATAAGAAGGATGACACTAAAGCTATTTCCCATTTTCTTTGTCAAATGCTTATATAAAGTAATGTGCAAAAAATATACATGTATGTACTAGTAATAAGCAGCATGCGCATATTCTCCAAGCAGATGTTGGTGGGGATCGATCTATCATCATCCGTTTTCAGTCGCTGCTCGCCAGGAAAAACGATAGGTCACAATCTTACCCACCAACCTCTGCTTGGAGAATACATTCTATACCGAGACTAGGCGATACCTTTATACCTGTATTGTACATTCATGCCACGACGGGCTAGGTACAGGTCAAGACTTAACAGACAGATCAGAAACGTATATAGAAAAGTGGAGACAAAAGATACACTACTTGACTTAGACATACATACATAAGGAACATACAAGGGAAGTATACTAAGCTAATACAGAGTGTTATAGTTACTGAGCTAATACAGAGTGGTCAACTTCTTCTCGCTTTTTTTGTACAATGGAAAATGATACCGTGTGACACCATATCGTCGAGGTGGCTGGTGGCTTTGTTATGGCAATAGAGATTTACTATAGGTTAGGAGAGTCATGTTTCCCCGTTGCCGGAGACGCCGTGGTGCCACTTACGTGCTGGTTGTTGTGGCAGCCGGCGACATCTGGGCTGACTGCCGGCAGGAGTTATCAACACAGCCGCGCTTTAAACTTTGGTGTTAGTTCGTTTCCTTCTCAGGTTAGACCTACAGATCTCGCTCCTGGATGGCGGCTATGGATGTGTTGGTCCTGAACCAGCCTGGTCATGAAGACGGGCAGAGTACGCCGGTACAGTGTCCTGCCATCGTCAGCCCGCGGAACAAGGCCAAGGGACGGCGCGGGAAGAAGTCCCCGGGTAACCGGCGGTCGAGCTGCTCGAACACCGACCGAAGCGTGCCGAATAACATGCGCCTCAGGCCCAGGCGGTTCACGGAGGGCGCGGACATACTCAAACTCCCCCTGCTGTCCGGCGCCATGCCCAGACGAAAAGTCGGGCTTCTGGACGCCATCAGACCT